AAGACATAGATGCCTATTGAGACGAGACTGCGACAGCACGCGTATTCATTGCGCCTAGCCCATTCGTGAGACCAAGACATCATGCGACCTGAGGCCTACTGACACGCCGCGAGGAAGGGGCGACGGGGTGACATGAACTAATTAGCGGACCCCTCCCCTATGTGGCTCTGACGAGAAACGGACCAGTTGCTCCGCGTACACCTTTCCATTCTTCCGCACCCTGCTTACTGCTGATTGGTTGCTTAAGCTTTTGTTAAATCTACCCTCCTTTATACTATTGTAGTGGCCTGATGAGGAATAGTAGAAAGCCTTTGTTTGCCTAACTTCACTTCCTGAACACTTCAACCTTATGAATATTCCAAAATAAAATTCGAAGTGGGAGGAATAGCTGTCTCAATATAATTAAGTAAGCTCATGATTGCTAATTAAAATAATATTCAAATTTGCCTGTTACTGATCGCTCTGCTGAAAGTCTTAATTAAATGACGTTTAATCGCCAGAAGAATTAATCAGCAAAATCAACGAGTATTGCATTGTTTAAGCAACAAAAGCTCTGTGAATATATGAACAGTAAAACAATGTAAATCAGTACATCATAAAATATAAAGGAAAGTACTCAATCGACTTTTTTTGCAAGATATTCCTTAACTCTCATTCCTTAAAGATATTCATTGAAATGTACGTAAACAAACATATATCGTTCTTTTGCGATCCCGTTTCTATTATAATTTTATTTGCGTGGGGAAGCGGTACAATTTCGCGTTTTATAAATTGCTCTCCTAGTTTACGAAATTATAGCTGTAATGCATATTTTTTAGAGGTTAGTTATCTGTTTGCTGGCAGCGGTCGTACTAGTTGTACGTTATTTAACGATTATTCTTTAATATTACTAATATATACCTTGAATTAAACCACAATTTGTAATTACCGGTGCTGCGTTTGCTAAAATTGTCTCGTCCATGCAAACTGTTGCAACATTTTTGTGGCAAGATATATTGGTCGCAAGTGCTGGTGTTTGTCCAAATAAGTATGAACACATATTCCAGCATTGTTAATGAAGGGGCAACTATGGGGAATAAAGAGTTCCATTCTAGCAGATTTGGTAGACTCAGACCATAACGCGGATGCGAGAGAGGTCTTTCGAGCGATCTACAAGATACCTAGATCTATTTTAAATTTCTTCGACAGCGTCTGTTGGCCACGACCGAAGCAGCTGTTATCAGGCTACGCCGACTGGTCCTATGCGGCCGAAAGCACTTCGTCGCGGCGCGCAGTTGCTATGGCCGAAAGTCGATATTCGAAAAAACCCGCAGCTTATCACCTATCTCGGCTACCACTCCCTCCTAACTCTGATGAGATTGTTGACCCTGATGTCCCCATCCACCTACCCTGACAACCCCACTATGCTCTTCTACCCAACCGCATAGTTTATGTAGTTAGTTGTCATGCTAGTGTAAAGGCCTGACGATAATTTATCGAAACCAGTGTATGTTTGTCAATTTATCGCGTAAAAATGTTCTTTGGAAATTCTCGCAAATCTGAAACATTTATTTTGCAGAATTTGATGGTTTCTTCTCTCATTTATGCATACAGCTGTAATGCAAGTAACCCACAAACAGTGAAACGTTTCGCACATAAGGCATCTTCGAGGAGACAAAATGGCACTTACGTGGGTTCATTGGGCTGCCATCTGACGGTGGGGTGATACCGCATTGCATAGGTTGTCTCACTGGGTAAGCTGTCATGACCATTTGCACTGGAGCTCTTGTCGACACTAGTTGAGTCCGGTTTGACTGCGTAATCTCCCCTATTTACATAATCGTTTGGTGCGCTTTTTTCCTCCTGAGGATTATCTGCCTGGAATCGCCCCCAGATTTTCAAAATAATGCTGATGTAGCAGAAGGCCATTATAAGCAGGGGCGCGGTGTAGACTAAAATAGTCACGACGCCAAGGAAAAAGAGGCGCTCAGCGGTGTCCGAGGGCCAGACCTCGTGGCAGATACTAATGCCTTCACTGACAGTCACCTTATAGTGGACGGCCCAGGGGATGAATAGAGTGGCCGAGATTATCCATATGACTACAATCAGTTTCTTGGCCAGTGTTCGCCGAATAAGCTTTCGCATTGGGAAGCAAATAGCCAGGTACCTGAGGGACGAAAGTGTTAAAGGGTTAATACAAGCAAACATACGAGTCCCAGGAAGTAGTTAAGAAGCAGAAGACGACTCGATCGCTGGGACAATATGTTTATTCGCCTGAAGTTTCGAAACCTCTCACGGATTCAGCATCAGCGAACTACTCACCGAACGGTAGCAGAAAGAGTTTGTGTGTGCACCGGGTTTTGCCGTAAAATGTAAACGTACGGAAAAAATCGATAAATGCCTTGAGTGTGCGCTGATTCATTGCGTCAGCAATGACCATCCGGCCTTGCGGTGTTGACATAATATGATGTGGTGACCTGTCTGTTCTCCGAGCGACGACTGATTTCGAAACGTCAGGCGAAGAAACATATTGTCCCAGCGATCGAGTCGTGTCCTACTTCCCAGGATGAAAGGGCTTACATATAACTCACATACGGGCTTTGATACATGTAAACGAAAACGTGGGATTTTAGGCAGATAATGAAAAGAAATAATACCGTATGACCAAAAAAAGTAGAACTAGTCGCTGTTGCCACATCACGGAGTAAAGCATGTTTGAGCACATGGATGAGCTTTTAATGTTTTGTTACTTCAGCAGATAAATTGGCAAACACAGGTTTGTTTTGGAAAAATTGTCGTGAGGCTTGGACACTTATATATTATTTAACTAAATAAACTATGCGGGATGGTAAACTACATAGACCTATTGTCAGGGGAGGGGGTAATCGTGGTCAGCATATATCCCCGGAGTTAGGGGGACTGATAACTGAAAAGTGTGGATCAGCTACTTTCGGCCATGGTAACTGCGGCGCTGTTACAAATTTATCTTGAGCGCTGATCAGCTTTGTTGACCCCGATTATCCCCTACCTTCTCTGGCAACGCACTATTTTTCCTACCAACCTTCATAGGCTATTTAATTAATTACCATATAAATGTACAAGCCTCACGACAGTCTATCGGAAATAAACCTGTTTGCAAATTTTTCTTCTGAACTTTACACTGGGAATTTTCGCAAGTTTTGTTACTTTTGTCAAAATGATCCCGTTGGACTTGGATGATTTTTTGGTATCTGCAATTCTCCAAATTCGGTGAACTTCGTTACCTTGAAGAAGCATACATAATCATTCATCGACTATCAATGAAGAGACAAGGGAATGAATGGTATCTTAAACATACAGTAAATTTAAAATATGACGTAACGTTTACTGGTAAGAGGGCATTACTGACAGAGGCCAAACTGACTGGAATGACAATTTCTGGTATATTGGCCGTGATCAACCAGCCAGGCCTAAAATCTGGACGATGCACCACACGAAGCTCGCACCCGCGAACTTGTTGGCTAGAAGTCCAAGGCTTTAGTGCATTGAGCCGCGAGGTCTTTGCCTCGCGGGATGGGCGGTCCTTGCTCAGTAACGGGACGTAGATGTCGCATTCTGCCTTGGAG